TAGATCTATCATCTACAGGCGAGTTCCCAGAACTGTTTCTACAGGAGTCAAATAAAACCTGCAAGCTTCTCTGTATCGGGGCAGGTCACTCGACCGACAAACTTGGTTGCCGCTATCCAATACAGATCAATGCAAGGGCCATCACTTTACTTCCACCAACCTCGGGGGAGCTGTGAGCTGTCCTGCTCAAAAAAACAAAACAAAATATATGTATACTGTATATATATATATATATATATATATCGTCAGAGCTTTCCTCGCCCGCATCCAGCGAGACAGAATTCAGACTCATGGCAGTCAGAGGAACATTGTAGTGAACACTACACAGACCCTCGGCCTCTACACAATTGTTCAACTCTCCGTGGCCTCCAAAAACTGGGATCGCCGCATCTGGATTAGTACCCGAAGACATGTTGAAGCTGTCGGTAGTGCACAGCACACATGCATTGGGGTTGGAGAGATCCAGCCTAGCGTGGACAATTCCAACACACCGGCGTGAGTAACGTTATATAAACACCCACATGCCATTGACAGGCATCACACAACTTATGTTTAGATATTTCTCATGAAAAAGTTTATTAGCCATTTGTTAGTCGTGCTAAACTCAAGCTAAAAATTGTCTTTTATGCCTTAACAAGAGTCACCATCGTGGGTTTTCTTGTGAATGTGGCATGTTTGAACATTTTGTTTGAGAAAAACTTAGCCATTCGTTAGCAAAGATGAACTTGTGCTAGAAGCTTTCTCTTTCTGCCTTAGTTTCGACAAGAATCACCACCGTGGGTTTTTCTTCTTGCGAAAATGTGGCGTGATGGTGTTCTAACCATAGACAGTAAAAGAAATGGACTCAGCGACCCCATAGATTTTAACGGAAAAAAGTGAAGCCAATTAGAAGCACTCACTTCCTGATGGCTGAGCGTACTGCGCAGGCTCAAACTGAGCTTGACGACGTAGATGTGACGTGAGCAACCTGTCTGACAGTTGTAAGTCTTCTAGTAGCTGTGCCAAGAGAAAATCTGAATCATTCCCTTCCGAATCTTGCAGAGACGGAGAGCGTGAGTAGGAGCTGTCCATGAGCAGCAGCAGGAGCAACTTTATGACTCTCTATGGGCTTCTCCCTTGACTTTATGCCTCCACGTCCCCCCGATTGCCTGCGAGCTTCTCCTCCTGCATGTCTATATGGTAATTTCTCTACTATGCGACAGAGAGTCGCGTGGTTATGACGCAATCGTTAGCCTATTTTTACAAAAACGGCTTCATCGGGGCCATACAAAGTAATGGAGCCTTTTATACATTGTCGTGTTTCTTTAGAAATAAATAATGGACAAATGGAGTCTTTGGACGCCTCAGATGTAAAGTTATTCGCTGTCAAAGTGACGCCAAAATGAATGGGAATCAATGGAATGCTAACAGCAGATGATGGTCTGCTACAATGGCGGCCCCCAAGGGAAGCTTCAATTTCCGGCTGATGGATTACCCCCTTGGTTCTAACAGCACGGTGAAGAGCTGAAGAACAAAGGAAATGATGCATACGACTGCATTTATATGGTGTGGGCAGGAGCCCCGCCCACGTCGTCATGCGTCATTGGCCTGTTCAGGCGTGAATAAAAGGTGTCTTCAGTAGACGGCGCTAGAGCGCGATATCCCATAGTCATGTGTTGTACCGAGTTGACAGACTGAATGGGAACAGTTTTATTACTATTTTTAACCGACGTAATTCTAATATCCCGGCGACTTGTATACATTTAAACACATTAAACACATTTTTATTGTCAAAGATGTTTTAATCTTTAACAAAAATTTTGACAAATATTCGACAAGCATACACACATACATGCACACAAAAGACACTAATGCACAGAAACACACACCTATACAACATGATCAGTTCATTTTTAATTGCATTTTTTAATGAAATATTTGTTCAACTTTCTATTTAATGAAATACATTCACGGTGTTGCTATGGCACACTAAAGACAATAGTGTCAATGAATGTACTGTTAAAAATAAAATGATTTCAGCAGAAATTACCTGTGTTGTTCTCTTTATATATTGGCCCATTTTAACCGGACAGTTAAAAAAAGATGTATATATTTAAGAGACCCATGCTAATTTATAAAATATATTATTAGATCTCATGCATATAGCTTATTTGATGGTGTTATAAGTAAATCTCATGCATATAGCTTATTTGATGGTGTTATAAGTAATTTACCAAAACATGGCCCATTTTAGCTGACTTTACCCTATGTATACACAAGAGAAGGCATTTCAATGAATGAATTTCCTGCACGCTGCGGCTGAACCCATCCTATCAATAGGTGTGTCCAAAACATGTGGAGAGAAGTCCCTATCTACATTGTATCAAACACTATCAAACAATTAGAAATTAACCACAGGAGTGAAATCACTACTACATGACAGTCACCCTCCTGAAGTCACAGTAGAAGTGTATAAAATATATTAAATGATTATGTTGATGGATGAACAGCTATGTTGCTTAATATTTTTGTCAAACCCGTAATTTATTTTTTATGATTCTTTGATGAATCGAAAGTTCAAAAGTCAGCATAAAAAGGTAATATATGAAAATGTTTTTTTTTTTTTTTTTTTTTTTTTTTTTACTAGTGTACCTTACATTTTGCAAACTTGTTTCTTGTTTTCATTTTCTTTTTATTAGGAAAATGTAATTAACGGTCAGTTTTTTTTTTGTTTGTTTGTTTGTTTCAATACATTTTACAATAAATTCAGCTTTTTTTTTTTTTTTTTGCTTTTTGGACTGACAGGGTTGGGTCTGAAGCTTGGGGTTATGTCTTCATTTGGTCCTTCTGGACCTTCAATTTGTTTGTGCTAAACAGCGTATTTCCCTTTTGAAATTACAGTTGTGTCCCTTCATGAGAAATCTTTACTTTTTTTCTTTACTCTTTAGTAGTATCCATTTGAACTGTGCTGTAAATTGTTGCTGCCGTCTTGTTTGCAGAATTCAGCATTGCTGGGTCCAAACCAACAAGCCCCCTTCTCAGCAGCACTGATGCAGATGATTGGTAGGGCAGTAAAAGCATCCTCTAGCCTGGGGGGAACTGGCTGTGGGCCATGCTGATGTCATATGTTTGATCAGCTCATCTGGGTCATTGTTCCAAACCAAACCCCCTTTTAGTTCCAGCTCATTTGGTACCTTCCTGTACACACACTATAAGCAAATGCAGTGAGCAATGCTTTCATAGTTGGCCTACATGTGAATAAGTGAAAATAAATGAATATAGAATGAATTTATAATGAAATGTGTGGATTCAGGGTTGATTATCAATTCAAATTTCCTCTGATGAATTGTGACATACAGCGATTACTTTAATTCTATCACTGGTGTGATTCACCAGATATCATAATGTGTTACTCAGCTAATTCATCCATTTATATTCCCTGAGCCCTAACTAGTCCTCTCACAACTATCTTTTTATGGGACTGCCCCAGTTTGTGTTCTCTCGGGGTTTGTTTTAATAAGGATTGATCTACATCCTGCTCATTCTGTCTGACCACACACACTGGTGCGTCCCAATGGACCATCCATCCTGGATTCACTGAAGGGGAATGGCTTTAAATATGTATTGAGTGTTTATATGCTCTGAATATGGAAGTGAAGTGTTTGCCCAGCTATTGCCTCTCACTCATTTACCCACATAGATTTGTATGCCATCAGGATGAGCCAATGAAAACGTGTAGCCATTATTTAAAAAAAAAAAAAAAAAAAAACACAACTGCTGTCTGAGCTTACTAAAATGTGAATTTTACTGTATGAACGCATCAAATGTTTGGGGTCAGTAAGATTTTTTTAATGTTTTTGAAAGAAGTATCTTATGCTCACAAAGGCTGCATTTATTTGAACAAAAATAGAGTAAAAACAGAAATATTGTGAAATATTATTACAGTAAAAATTTATAATATACAGTTTATACAATAAAAATTATACACTTTAAAGGAACTGTTTTTGGTTTTAATATATTTTCAAATGTAATATTCCTGTGATGCAAAGCTGAATTTTCAGCATCATTACTCCAGTCTTCAGTGTCACATGATCCTTCAGAAATCATTCTAATATGCTGATTTGCCGTGCAAGCAAAACAATTCTTACTATTGTCCATGTTGAAAACAGTTGTGCTGCTTAATATTTTTGTGGAAACCACAATAGATAGTTTTTTTTTTTTTTCAAAAATAAATAAATTACTGTCCCAAAACTTTTGAATGGTACATGCACATTTTAGCTATACTGCCCAGCTTCATGTAAACCTCAGTTGTAGGGTCTATCCTTGTTGAAATGTCAAATTTAGACCATAATGATTTGTCAAATTAGTCCAGGTTGGTTTAGTTCTGATTTGGTACTGGTCCAAGGATGTCTTGCCAGTTTAAATGATTAAGTAGCCTGGTTGGGCTTTTCTTGGCATAATGCTTTATCTCAATCCACCATGATGAAAAATAGAGCAGTGCTTTTAGCGCTCTGATTTATTGCTGCACATTGATCTCTGACTCTTTCTGTGGGATTCAGAAAATTGCGTTCAATTTTGCATATTGATTGCCTTAACTGAATTGGGAGGAGAGGCTCATCCTCTTGTATTTACAGCTGTGAACGTACTGTACAAATGTATTTGTTTTATTTTTTAGCAGCATCACTGCAGTATATGACCTGCTCTAGTGCTCAGTGATGTAAGAGAAAGGAAGTCAAACACCTAACATGGCTAATCCAGCTCTGGAAACTAGAGATGCAGCTTAACTGTGTCAGAAGAGAGGGATCAGGCACCTGAAGAGAGAGAGAGAGAGAGAGAGAGAGAGAGAGAGAGAGAGAGAGAGAGAGAGAGAGAGAGAGAGAGAGAGAGAGAGAGAGAGAGAGAGAGAGAGAGAGAGAACAGAGATGGGATACTAAAAGGGGGTGTGTCAGGCAGCATGTGTGTGTCCATGTGAAAAGCAGAAAGATGAGTATGTGTGTGTGTGTGTGTGTGTGTGTGTGTTAAAGAGAGAGAGCACTAAAACACACAGGCGTGCGCAAGCACAGACAGAATCAAATCTTTCCGCAGCAGGACGACAGGGAGAGAGGGATTACTCCTGTTTAAGACTCTTCATCCATGCGTCCCGTGGTGAGCACAATTCTTCTAGCACATAAAGTTTATGTCTATGCATGTATGTGTATGTGAGTTCAGTTGTTCGGTGTGGAAATGTGTCACTGGATGCTGCTGCTGAAGAGAAGATGCATTAAACAGTGCTGCACTGGTTGGGAATGTAGACCAGCATCCCCCTCTTTCTCTCTTTCTATTGCTCAGATATTAATGATAAATTCTGCATCCACTCCAGGAGACAGATATAAGAGAAAATAGTCTTGAGAAATGAGTTCAAATGCAAAAAGGCAAGAAAAAGAAAAGGTGTGTGTGAGTTAAGAAGCAGAGTGTGCACTGCAGCAGCTATCAGATCATTTGACATAAATCTAATTTAATTGCAAACTGTTCGTCACAATATACATGCAATCTTAGTAATGAGGATTGATTAATATAGAAAGCATTAGTGTGTGTTTGGTTGCCGTCCTCTTCTGTGAGGTACAATTTATTTTTTTCTGAATTGGGTCACATGACTCGAGGGGATCGAGTTATAATTTGATGGTTTGTGAATTCAGAGCTCTGGCTGTAATTTGCCACTCAACACTCGACGTTAGCTTTGTGGCGCTGTTTGGGGGACAATAATATCTTATCACATATCAGGACCACACTGATTATCAAATGATGTCATACATTTAATAAAATTACAGATATAGACTGATAAACATATTGTGGACCCCTGATTTCAATAGTATTGGATTTTTATTGGGTATTTGAAAATTTATCAGGCCAATACTGGATATTTAAATCTTAACATAACACTATCCTCAACACTACCCCTTTTTGATATATCTATCTATATATCTCTATATGTAACCCCTCACTCAGGTCCTACTCGCCCCGCTCGCCCCTTGCCTACTCGCCCAGCATCAGTCGCTAGAGCACCTCTTGAGATTGGGGGAGTGAGGTTTACTTGCACAGCGACTACTAGCTGGCCCCCGTTACACTCACCCCCCTAAACCTCACTCCCATCCGGGTCACGCCCCCAATGTAACCCCTCACACAGGTCCTTCTCGCCCCGCTCTGCACGGGCTTTGAACCCAGTTCTCCGACGTGGGAGTCAGACGCTCTAACAAGGAGGCTAAAGACTGCAGCCTCTATATATATATATATATATATATATTGCAAAAAAGTAGAAGTAGAAGAAGAAATAATTTATAAATATAATATTTTTTGCCATGAAGTATAGATTTAGAATTATACATTTTTATTTTATTATTTTATTTATTTTATTATTTTGCAAAGAAGTGTAGACTTATAATAATTTATAAAACTTATAATTTTTTGCGATGAAGTATAGAGGTATCTAACTATGCATTTTTACTTTATCATTTTGTTTTATTTATTTCGCAAGGAAGTATAGATTTATAACACTTTATAAATATTGTAATTTTTTATTTTATCTTGCAAAGAATTATAGATGTATACTAATTTATACGTTTTTATTTTATTACTTTATTTTTCAAATAAGTATAGATTTTGAATATTGGTGCATGCCTATTTGAAATCACTTTCTGGTTGAATCCAGTGACCCAGCTGGTCTTATCTTGTGAATGTTTCTTTTTGTTTGTTTTCAGAACCTGCGCAGAATGTGAAAGTTAAAAGTAGACAGCCTGGTGACTTTGTGAGGTGTAACTTCTTCAGAGGAGCGTCAGCATGACCCCTCACAGCGAAGCTCTACTGCTGCTCTTCAGTTTCTCGCTGTGTGGTAGTCTGTATGCTGTATCTTTAAATAGAAATGAAAGAGCTTGGGCCAGCACTGACCCAGAGCCAGCCAGCAGCTCACTGTGGACGTTCCTACCGAGACAAATGGACATGACTACTCCAACCATCCTCAGTTTGTCCCCAAATGCACTACAATCAGAGAAGTCTAGCAGAGACCTTGAGGTGGACCCTATAGTTGAACAAAACCCCTATGTCACAATGGAGAATCGTGGTTTATCAAGACTTCCAGCCACAAGAACACCACTGATCAAATCTTTGACTTCCCCTAAGACTGGAATTCCTTCAGACATCCAGAACGATGAAGAGGGACCTGAAACGGAAGCATCTGATTGGCCAAATTTTAGTAAGCAAGGAAATACTGACCAATCACTTAAATCTTCTGCACTGGTAACACTGCAGCCTTTTCCTTCTCAGGCCTGGAGTACAGAGTCCAAGGCACCAAATGCTTGGAATACAGAGACACATACACCTCAGACTCATGCTGAAACAAGATTTCGCACCTACCAGACACTGTGGAAGTCCTCTAGTGCTACCCAAACACCATATGCCAGAGGAACCTTAGATGGTACCACTTTGCCAAGAGGGCTGATAGACTCTCTGTGGCCATCTGAAGAAACAAAGGATTTGACAGATGCTCCTACAGGTAATCCAATTAACGATACATCAAAGTCAACTCTCCATGTCACGACAGAACTTGATAGCATGTGAAAGTATATATTCATAAAATAAATTCAAGACAAAAGTATTTCAATGAACTGATTTTCTTTTTGTTAAGAAAGCCCCAACTTAGACCATGATCAATTTAATTGTTGGATCATAGGTTCATGCTGGTCTGGTGCTGATAACACAGCATAGCCATGCTTAGCTAAGTTAACTGGTGAAGCTAGAATGCTTAAGTAAAGCTGATATGTCATTTTCAACAACTAGTGTAGCTGAAAATAATATTAATAACTTACAGTGAGTCAGATGTTGATTCATTAAGCATTCTGTTGGATTCTGTTCAGTGAAGGATTTGTCAGACTGATTTGAACCGGTACCTCACCTTATTAAACCGGCTTATGAGTAATTTGTTCGGGAATAACACTATACTTGTAACACTTTATGTTTTGATTCACAAATCACAAAAAAGATCCGGCTCATTTGAGTGTTCGTGAATCAGACTCTGGTGACGCTGCATGCTTTGGAATTACTAAAAATAACCGGTTCATGAGAGTCATTTGTTTGTGAATCTGTGAATTGTGTATCAATAATAATCTTGTCACAGTTAAATTCGTCCACATTTAAATGCAGTTGCACGTTGATCTGCAATCGCAGGTCTTTCATGCAGAGAACCCTCCTCAAATTTACGCTGTATTCATTATAATGATGTCCACATTGTTATTGCAGATGAAATATAACACGGATAACATGAAATAATTTTTTTAATAATCAGGTTAAACTTTGATTAGTCACTCAAACCTTTATCTAAACCTCTCACCTTCGGTCACGCATATCCACCATGTTTTGTAGTTTTTTTACACATTTTTGTAGTTCCTCCTCCAAAGTGCAATGGGTTGTGGGCAATATTAGCCTAGAGTGTGCACGGATCCACACTTCGAAAATCGACAGGAAATAGTAGAACATCCGGGGACTTCTGGCATACTCTTTTCAACATATGCTTTGGGACACACTTATTTTAATCTCACATACTGTTTAGGATGGATAGTATTGAAATTGAGACGCAGGCATAGTGTCACGATCCACACACGGGAAACAGGGGTTAGATCCAAAAGCAGTATTTAATAGGGTAATCCGTACTCACAAACTAGTCCAGGCAAAGGTCAAATCCAAAAACAAGAAAACAAACAAGAACAGGCAAAAACAGGCTACCAGAAGTGGTGTGACAATATACAAGGACTCCGTAACAAACACTAAACAGGCAGGGTATTTATACACAGAACAAGACAATCATGATGGGGAACAGCTGAGTTCAATGAACAGTGATGAGCGCAGACAAGGATTGTGGGGAATGCAGTTCCAAACGTGAATGACACCGTGAGGAAAGAGGACCTCTAGTGGACACCAGGGAACATAAACCAGACACTGTGACATGACCCCCCCTCTACGGAGCGGCTACCAGACGCTCCAAGACAACTAACACACAACACAAGAGTTCAGGAGGGAGGTGGAATGGCGGAGGATCAGGGGGAGGGATGGTGGGCCAGGTCCATGTAGGGGAACAAAAACGGGAAATAACGATTTAGCCGGTGACCAGGGTGAAGCGGTCAGTTCATCCGGCTGCCCGGGCGAAGCGGTCAGTTCATCCGGCTGCCCGGGCGAAGCGGACAGTCCATCGGGTGGGCAGGGCGAAGCAGACGACCCCTCGGGCGGCCAGGGCGGTGAAGAACCCTCGGGCGGCCAGGGCGGTGAAGAACCCTCGGGCGGCCAGGGCGGTGAAGAACCCTCGGGCGGCCAGGGCGGTGAAGAACCCTCGGGCGGCCAGGGCGGTGAAGAACCCTCGGGCGGCCAGGGCGGTGAAGAACCCTCGGGCGGCCAGGGCGGTGAAGAACCCTCGGGCGGCCAGGGCGGTGAAGAACCCTCGGGCGGCCAGGGCGGTGAAGAACCCTCGGGCGGCCAGGGCGGTGAAGAACCCTCGGGCGGCCAGGGCGGTGAAGAACCCTCGGGCGGCCAGGGCGGTGAAGAACCCTCGGGCGGCCAGGGCGGTGAAGAACCCTCGGGCGGCCACGGCTCAGGAACAGACACTGGCTCCGGCTCAGGAACAGACACTGGCTCCGGCTCAGGAACAGACACTGGCTCCGGCTCAGGAACAGACACTGGCTCCGGCTCAGGAACAGACACTGGCTCCGGCTCAGGAACAGACACTGGCTCCGGCTCAGGAACAGACACTGGCTCCGGCTCAGGAACAGACACTGGCTCCGGCTCAGGAACAGACACTGGCTCCGGCTCAGGAACAGACACTGGCTCCGGCTCAGGAACAGACACTGGCTCCGGCTCAGGAACAGACACTGGCTCCGGCTCAGGAACAGACACTGGCTCCGGCTCAGGAACAGACACTGGCTCCGGCTCAGGAACAGACACTGGCTCCGGCTCAGGAACAGACACTGGCTCCGGCTCAGGAACAGACACTGGCTCCGGCTCAGGAACAGACACTGGCTCCGGCTCAGGAACAGACACTGGCTCCGGCTCAGGAACAGACACTGGCTCCGGCTCAGGAACAGACACTGGCTCCGGCTCAGGAACAGACACTGGCTCCGGCTCAGGAACAGACACTGGCTCCGGCTCAGGAACAGACACTGGCTCCGGCTCAGGAACAGACACTGGCTCCGGCTCAGGAACAGACACTGGCTCCGGCTCAGGAACAGACACTGGCTCCGGCTCAGGAACAGACACTGGCTCCGGCTCAGGAACAGACACTGGCTCCGGCTCTGGAACGGGCTCTGGAACGGGCTCCGGCTCTGGCTCTGGAACGGGCACTGGCTCTGGCTCTGGAACGGTCACTGGCTCCGCCTCCGGCTCTGGAACGGGCAACGGCTCTGGAATAGCAGACACGGGCATGTCCAGGATCCGAGCCAGACGCTCCAGGTGGTCCAGGTCCATGAAGACAGACGGAACGTGAACAGTCTCTGACTGGGCAGACGGGACGTGAACAGTCTCTGACTGGGCAGACGGGACGTGAACAGTCTCTGACTGGGCAGACGGGACGTGAACAGTCTCTGGCTGGGCAGACGTGACGTGAACAGTCTCTGGCTGGGCAGACGTGACGTGAACAGTCTCTGGCTGGGCAGACGTGACGTGAACAGTCTCTGGCTGGGCAGACGTGACGTGAACAGTCTCTGGCTGGGCAGACGTGACGTGAACAGTCTCTGGCTGGGCAGACGTGACGTGAACAGTAGACGTCTCTTTCTTCCTCCTCCTCCGCCTTCGGACCACCGGACTCGGGACCCCCGGATTTGGGACCACCGGACTCGGGACCACCGGAACTGGGACCACCGGACTCGTGACGGTGTCGGCATGGCGAGGCTCCAATACATCCCACTGACTCCGATGCTCAAGGTATCTGGTAAAACTCCAAAAGTCCAAGACTTCCAGACCCTTCATTTCCCACCCCGGCAATGGGTCATCAAGACAGGTATTAAAAATGTCCTTTAATGCTGCCTCACTGTATCCCATTCCCCTCGAGAGCGTCCAAAATGACTGGGCAATGCAACCCACCGGCAGGCATTGCTGACGAAAGCTCATCAAATTTTGGACACGGCCCCTCCTCTCTTTCTCCGTGGTAGGAGGGAGGATACGGAACCCCATCATGCTGGATCTCTTTGGGACGGAGTCCTTCTGTCACGATCCACACACGGGAAACAGGGGTTAGATCCAAAAGCAGTATTTAATAGGGTAATCCGTACTCACAAACTAGTCCAGGCAAAGGTCAAATCCAAAAGTCAATCCGAAAACAAACAAGAACAGGCAAAAACAGGCTACCAGAAGTGGTGTGACAATATACAAGGACTCCGTAACAAACACTAAACAGGCAGGGTATTTATACACAGAACAAGACAATCATGATGGGGAACAGCTGAGTTCAATGAACAGTGATGAGCGCAGACAAGGATTGTGGGGAATGCAGTTCCAAACGTGAGTGACACCTTGAGGAAAGAGGACCTCTAGTGGACACCAGGGAACATAAACCAGACACTGTGACACATAGTCTTTGATTCACTACAAAGAATTGTCTCTTAAGAGTCATTTGTGTGTGAATCAGACTACGTCTTCAAGGACTTCTTGTCATTATTTGCGGTTCAATGTACATGGTCTTTTTACTGCATCACTTTTAATTAAGACAGTAAATTCACTTTTACTCAGGTATCTTAGCGGATCAACGGCGCTGCAGAAAAATGATTGAATAGAATGGGGAAATTCTGTAATAAAGGGATATTGGTATCATTGCACTTCTACTGCATTTATTTGGTAATGCTGTATTGGCATAAAAATGTCTGTAATGTCTGCATTAATGGTGCATCCACTTTTTCCTCAAGCTGCAGTAAAAAAATCAGTATTCCAGCAGCGAACAAGCCGTTCATCACTGCAGATGTGAGTGGGATACAAGCCCTCTAGTGACTCATTGGGAAACTGAATGCAATTTACAGTTTTTTTTTTTAAGCTATTGAAATGAAAGTTTAGCTGAAGTTAATGGGTAAAAAATTAGAACAACAGCAGGTTAAATGAAATGAAAAATGGTACGATAACTTTTGAGCTAGCATTAGCTCTCAGTTCCTCTTGTCTTTTTAAAGAACAGGTTTCTAATCTTTTCTTTCTCTTCCAGACAGTCTGACAAAGCTGACTCTCAATATGACAAGATCTGACCCTGAAAGAGAGGAACGTGAGAGTCTTGACCAAATGAAAGAGGAACAAAATAGCCAATCGACCACCACAGTGATCAAGGTCACTGAAACCTATCCTAAAGCAGGTACTGAAGCCTTCATTGTTAGAATGACCTCTATTCTAACACATTATATTTTACTGGTGGTGAGCAGAGCACAATGGCTTTCCAGTGCTTTACACAGCTTCTGAATTTACATAATATATAAGGCTCAAGGTCTTCAGTATGGTCCTTTATCTGGGTTCATTATTATTGCATATAACCTGTTTCATCATTTTAGCCTCTTATGAGGCTATTCTTTTTAGACTGCACGCAAAAACAAACATACAATGTGGTACTTTGTGGTACTGATTCACACACAAATTACTCTTATGACGCAATTCTTTTTGGTGAATAAAAATAAAAAAATTCAAGGAAAAGTCACAGCTTTCTCATAATATAATATAATATAATATAATTAACAGCAAAAACTGATTTCAACATTGATATTAATAAGAAATGTTTCTTGAGCACCAAATCAGCATATTAGAATGATTTCTGAAGGATCAGAGACACTGAAGACCGGAGTAATTGCTGCTAATTCAGATTTGCTCTCACAGGAATAAATTACATTTTAAAATATTCAAATAAATAAAAAGTTGTAATAATGTTTCACAATATTACTGTTTTTACTGTATATTTGATCAAATAAATGCAGCCTTGGAAAGCATAAGATACTACTTTCAAAAACATGAATACATAAAATACAATTAATTAATATCATTAATATTTAGAATTGTATACTGACTAGGTATGGACATTGGCTAACTTTTTCTAGGTAAATAAAGCCTTAAATGACAATTTGTTTACGTGACTGAAACAAATTTTCATGAGAAAATTACAAAAATATCGTCCTGTGAACAAAGGTCAATCATTCAATCTTTAGAGGGGAAAGTTAAGCCAGACCCTCTGACCTTAATTAACACATGCTAAAGGACAAATGCCGACTCAGAGTTTCAGCCCCAGTGTATTCTGGATCATTACTAGTGTACCTTTTTTTTTACTGGTATTCTATATTTAATCAATTAACCCTGCAATAAACAACATAGTGCCTTTTGATCAACAATAAGCGCATGATATTTGTAAAAATAAAAATTATAAAAATTAGATAGAAGCACACACTTGAGAAGCCCCTTCTTCTCATTTCCATGCAGGCATATTTATCTGATGTAATGTCATGAAAGTGTGTCAGTTTCTAGTTTTTGAATAGTCTCACTCATGAGAACGGCAACAGGGTCAATGCCCTCTTATCTGTGCCGTGAATGTGTGTCAGGGATGAAGTGTGTGACCCGTTTACAACAGCCTACTTCCACATCTCCCCTAGCTAATTAACAGTCATTGTTTTATATACTTAATGGTGTATTTTCTTATATTAATGCTTAAAGCCTTTCATACTGGAGTATTCTACTTACCTGTTTTATATTTTTAGATTTGTATGCTTCGAGATACAGGATTCTCTACATCAGTGTGTGGTTTGTTGTTCTGTGTTTTCTCTGTGGTTTAAATACCTCTTGTGTTGTTTCAAGTGTACGGAGCCCCTAAAGGGACGTGGTGGTGGAATTTTTTTTAGGATGGGAGATTTTTTTTTTTTTCAATCTTTTGCGTTCCCTCGCAAAACTTTTGCGTTCCCCCGAGAAACTTTGCGTTCCCTCGCAAAACTTTTGCGTTCCCTCGCAAAGATATTTGCGTTCCCACGCAAAATGTTTGCGTTCCCTCGCAAAGTTATTTGCGTTCCCACGCAAAAGTTTTGCGTTCCCTCGCAAAGATATTTGCGTTCCCACGCAAAACCTGTTGGCAGCTCGGACAGACACTTCCTGTTTAATGTCCCGCTGGCAGTGTTTCAGAGCTCCGACGTTAATGGAGCGTTTCATAGTGTTTGAACTTGGACTCAAATATAAAGAAATGCGGTCAGTGCTTAACTCAATGTGTTCAGTGAAGTTGGCAATATATTCACATGCTATTCGAACTTCCCGGATCAATATTCTTGAGCTAAACGTTGTTAACCCTTTGATGCACAACATGGGTCTAAATAGACCCGACTGAGTTTTAATTTTCTATATCTTTGCAAGAAATTAATTTCATCATTCAGTATTCCAGGTATTCCTCAATTAACTTGTTTTTGATCATCACAAATCCTTATTTTTATTTTTACTTTCTTACTTTTTGAATAAAAATAGTTTTTGTATCAAAACCCTTCTAATGCGCAACATGGGTCTAAAAAGACCCGTATTCATTTCCTATGTTATTTCAGTGATGGCTGAGTGTTTTCTTTGCTGAATCTTTAAAATATATGTATTTTATCATTTGTTATTCCATGTATTCATTAAATATCTTGTTTTTGATTTCCACAAATCATTATGTTTATGTTTCCTTTCTTACTTTATAAACAAACACAGTTTTTGTATTTCTACATCAATTTTACATACATGGGTCTAAAATGACCCGTATTCATTTCCTATGTTATTTCAGTCATGGCTGAGTGTTTTCTTTGCTGAATCTTTAAAATATATGTATTTTATCATTTGTTATTCCATGTATTCATTAAATATCTTGTTTTTGATTTCCACAAATCATTATGTTTATGTTTCCTTTCTTACTTTATAAACAAACACAGTTTTTGTATTTCTACATCAATTTTACATACATGGGTCTAAAATGACCCGTATTCATTTCCTATGTTATTTCAGTCATGGCTGAGTGTTTCTTTGCTGAATCTTTAAAATATATGCATTTTATCATTTGTTATTCCAGATATTCATTAAATATTGATATTTATGTTTTCTTTCTTACTTTATATACAAACAGAGTTTTTGTATTTCTACATACATTTTACATACATGGGTCAAAAATGACCCATATAGAAACCTTTGATATTTGCACATATTTGCAAGTAGGAACATATTTACTGCATAAATACTATTACTATGGTATTATTACATAATACTATTCACCTGCCACACATTTCACAATTCAACACTGCTGCTTTTGTATATTTGATGCAAGTCTTATTTTATTTTAACCACAGAAAATATTTGATATTTTGTAAAAGATAACTGGACATAATATTTGAATATTAGGCTATGGTTACTTGACCACGAAATCCTAGTGAGAAATTACTTGTGAGAAAGAGAAACATATCCAATACTATTAGCTAGCTAGCTGTCGACATATTCTATTCTAGCTAGCTAATGTTAGCTACACTAAAAAAAGATGGGTTTTTAAAGGGGAACTCAGCAACTCTAGCTATTTCTTCGCTGATTTTCACTTTTGTTGTCGCATGTTTTCTCAACGAGCTCCCCCTACAGCTGTGGGATGTATATTTCACAACAATGTTGTAAAAAAACTCACTTGCGGCCCCTCCTCCCCCTTTCTACCGCTGCTCATGAGCATTTGTTATTATCGGAGCCGGCCAACTTTATCGTGTGGAGCTATACCGAGGTGGGTAATACATCATACACATTGAGGGCGGCGTGTGTGTTTATGTCGAATTGCCATAAAGCATTTTGTGTTTCTCGCTCGTTCTCGCTTCTCACAAGACTTCCTGTTTCCAACTTACTGGGACGTTAGTCCCCATGTTGCAAGGTTGGTTTTCCGCCTAGGAACGTTGGGGGGAGCAGGGAAAGTCACCATTTTCACCAGAACAATTATTAAACCATCCAAATGATTTCTAAACGGTTTCATTAAGTTGAAATAGTTGCCAAATGCCCCTTTAAAGCTTATTTACATGTAATAGGCCTAAAAGTTCTATTAAGAACCGTATAGTCTTGAATAAGCCATTATGCTGAAATGGTTCGATGTGTTAAGAGTTTAGGGTCCTTTTTTCCCCGCCTTTTGATTTTAAAATCTGTAACTGTCAAAGCCACCTGAAATAACATAGGAAATGAATACAGTCATTTTAGACCCGTGTATGTAAAATTGATGTAGAAATAAAAACTGTGTTTGTTTATAAAGTAAGAAAGAAAAAATAAACATAATGATTTGTGGAAATCAAAAACAAGATATTTAATCAATACCTGGAATAACAAATGATAAAATACATATATTTTAAAGATTCAGCAAAGAAACACTAAGCCATGATTGAAATAACATAGGAAATGAATACGGGTCATTTTAGACCCATGTATGTAAAATTGATGTAGAAATACAAAAACTGTGTTTGTTTATAAAGTAAGAAAGGAAACATAAACATAATGATTTGTGGAAATCAAAAACAAGATATTTAATCAATACCTGGAATAACAAATGATAAAATGCATATATTTTAAAGATTCAGCAAAGAAACATTCAGCCATGACTGAAATAACATAGGAAATGAATACGGGTCTTTTTAGACCCATGTTGCGCATTAGAAGGGGTATCCATAGCTTGCGCATCAAAGGGTTAAAACACAAACGACACCTATTTACAATCACAGTAACCTAGACAACGAGATACAACCCAATTCTCCTCAAAACGAGCTTTATAATATATAAATGGATCTCTATGAGCACGCAGGCGGCTGAGTCCGAAGGGACCATCTACAAAGTGCAATATAACCCCAAAAACGACTACAGCATCAACTCATAGTCAAAAATATAAAAATAGTCATTAACTTCAATGTTACAAACCACCCAATTCAGTTTACACATCAATGGTAAACTCACTGGTCATACTGCACTGCTTCTGCACATTTTATATTATAGGCCTATATAAAAAAATATTTAATAACTTCACTGTAACACAACAAATTTAGTTCACACATCAGTGCTCTAATGTTGGTTATACAACACTTAGTTTGGGAAGTAATTGCACATAAAAAAATAAGTAGGCCTATTCTTTACACAAATTATATTGGTAGGCTACTGTACGCAGCTAACATAATAGTTACAACCATAGCATTTGCATTATATTTGCTTACTGAATTTGATGGCATTACACTGTAGCCTATAACAGTGTGAAGTTACTGAATATTTTTTCTAAAAAGGGTAAAGTTATTGGAACTGAATTTGGTGACAGTAGCCTACATTGTATCACAGTGAAGCTATTGAATATGTTAAATCATATAAAATGTGCAGAAGGGTTTTGGGATTTGCACTTTGCAGACGGTCCCTTATTCGGACTTGTCTCGCCGGTTAAAGACATTTATATTATAAAGCTCGTTTTGAGGAGAATTGGGTTGTATCTCGTTGTCTAGGTTACTGTGATTGTAAATAGGTGTCGTTTGTGTTTTAACAACGTTTAGCTCAAGAATATTGATCCGGGAAGTTCGAATAGCATGTGAATATATTGCCAACTTCACTGAACACATTGAGTTAAGCACTGACCGCATTTCTTTATATTAGAGTCCAAGTTCAAACACTATGAAACGCTCCATTAACGTCGGAGCTCTGAAACACTGCCAGCGGGACATGCAGGAAGTGTCTGTCCGAGCTGCCAACAGGTTTTGCGTGGGAACGCAAATATCTTTGCGAGGGAACGCAAAACTTTTGCGTGGGAACGCAAATAACTTTGCGAGGGAACGCAAACATTTTGCGTGGGAACGCAAATATCTTTGCGAGGGAACGCAAAAGTTTTGCGAGGGAACGCAAAGTTTCTCGGGGGAACGCAAAAGTTTTGCGAGGGAACGCAAAAGATTGAAAAAAAAAAAATCTCCCATCCTAAAAAGATTTCCACCACCACGTCCCTTTAGGGGCTCCGTACAAGTGTAACTTTTTTATATGCGGTAAAAAAAAAAAAAAAAAAAAAAAAAAATGCATAAGCTGCTTGTGGAGAACATTAGCTTTGTGTTTTGTGAATATAACCTCATGAGTGCATAAACAGACGTTAAAGCTGGATTACCTTGACAGACTAAATTTTTTACTATAACTAAGTTATAATATGAATATTGTATCATCTATATTGTTTTGCACATTCATTTTTTTTGTCACTTGAAAAGTTGAAATATAATATACACTAAATGCATCTTAAACTAAACTTTATGTTGTATTTCAGCATCTCCAGGTGGCGACTGGCGTGAGTCTTCAACACTTCCGGAGTGCAACCTGTTTGGCATTGGGATCTGTCAGTCACCTGACTCTTCGAAGAATCATGCTTCAACTAACAAAACTCTGTCCACGTCACCTCCTGTTTATGAAACCACACCCTCTGGTGTCATAACCCCAGCTCTCGAAGCCCTGACTCCGCCTCTGTTAGTCCCTCTACTGACTGACTGGAATGCTGCAATAGCAACGTGGGGCCTGGCCTGGGAGTTACAGGTATACGGCCTCAGCTGCGTATTCTCGCTTGTGGCTGTGCTGTCTGTGCTCAGCCTGATGTGTTTGCCATTGCGCTGGCCCTCTGGATGTGCCCATTTCAGCCTCCTCCACCTTCTCCAGCTACTGACAGGTTCCAGCCGAGCTCTGTGGCTCCTCTACGATCCATACGGCCAAAAAGAGCGCCTTCCCGTTGTCTGGGCACGACTGCTTCACGAAGCTGCCTATCCCTGTTTAACAGCATCTTTTGGCCTACTGCTGCTACTGCTAACTGCTCGCTCCTGTACCCAGCTACTTTCCCAGAACACCCTGCAGCGCAGCACCTGCCTGTTGGCTGCCCTAGTGCTGCTGCACATAGCGATAGTGATGGCTTCCATGGCAATACTGCAACTTTTTCCCACCCTGCAAGTTGTGCCTCTATTACCGCCTGCAGCTTTCGTCTTGATGTCCTCTCTCCTGTCATTCACGTACCTGCTTCTGTACTGCTGCGCCCGGCCAGACATCAAGCACATTTACCGGCTGAACGAGAGCTCTCCTGAGCGGCCATCGTGCCACGCAAGTAGGTGTCCATTTACAGAGGCACAGATGTGGGAAAGGGCAGCCAGGGCTGGGGTGTTCTCTGCCCTCTTTCTCTTAGCATGCAGCAGTCTCCGACTCTATGCCATGCTCAACGCAGGAGGGCTAACCAGTGGGGTCATGGTTGGCCTGATGCCCTGGCCCTGGTGGGGATTCCAGCTCAGCTGCCGAGTGTGTGAAACAGGGGTATGTCTCACCCTCGCTCTTGTAATCACTCACCCCCTTCTGTGTTGCGGAGTGCCCCGTTCCAAACCTGGTGGCTGCAGCTGGTTCTTTAAAAAGCAACCTACAGAAGGAACCACATTGGGAAAACCCATCTTCTCAAGTCGGTGTGGCTGGTCACTACGGCCCGCCGAGAAGCTGGGGTTGTGTGAGGGAATAATACGGCGGGAAAGTGAAAGCGTGCCACTCTACACCTTGGTGGAGCTTCCGCACAGCGAATCTGATGGTTTAGACCTCCACTATCCCAGCAGCCCTCAGCAAGTGTCTTCCACACAACTTTCCCACACCGCAAAGAAGAGCAAAGAATCACATGCGTCCTCATTTGCCAGCTTGGACGCGGACTCCACAGCAGACCTTCGGCCCCCTTCACCCATCGACCTGCGACGAAGCATCGACGAGGCCTTGAACAGCGAGGCCCTGTTCCAGCATAGCCTGTTCGGCTCCTCCAGGCTCTCTCTTAGCACACGCGGACCCCCGGATGGACAACCCTGTCGGGGAATCTCCACTGACCCTAGCTTATACCGCACTGCCTCCTGTGGGGATGTGGACCCCGCTACTGTACCCAACCGACCCAGGCAATGGAGCACTATATCTGGAAGGCCAGCTCAGGTCTCGGTCCATTGCAGTGGGTTAAACTCAGCACAGCAGTCTCAGAGCAGCCTACGCAGGGACTCTCAGTCTGGGCAGCAACTCCACAGACGATACACAGTCTTGGGATCTACATCCTCCAGAGGGAGCGTGGATGTGGAGACAACTTCTCATGTTGATGAGCTTGCCGTTCAGGCTGAATTCGTCAACGTCTGCAGGCAGATAGATGCACTCAGCATCAGCAGTGATACGATCGACCTATAGGGGAAGAAGTCTCTGGATGTACTAACCCAACACCCTTAAGTAATTTCAGCCCTAACTACTCCAATGTGCAGAACTATTCTTAAAATAGATGCTGAGAGGAAATTTCTGTTTTAGGAGACATGGCATGGACAAAACGACAAACAGCAACCACTGAAAGACGTTCTTTCTTTATCAATGTGAGAAACTCCCTGAAACCCACATCCCATATTTGACAAATCACATATAATCTTGTTGAAATTGCTTGACTTGATCAAAAGACTTTACCTTTCAGCAATAAAGCTAGCACTTACGAACATGTTTTATGATCTTATGAGTCTTTGGCTTTGCTATTACAGCATGGATCACCTAAACACTCATTTGGCAACGTTACTACTGTATAGAGACACATTCTTATAGAACTCATTTGCATTTCATTGCAACACTATCATAACACACTTATTTGTGGCAGCTTTATTACTTGGGTAACATTTTGTTCTGGAATGAGGCCTACGTGTTCTGGTCGAGCATATACTTATGGGAAAGATGTCATTAGCAAAAGGCAGTGTGAAGATAACAATGAAAAACAGAAAAATCTCTGCAGTTTCATTTGAAATACTAAATGCCAATTAGTTATTTCGTTATTTATGTCACATAATCTTATTGAAATAATGTTTATCTGCAAATTCACATGCAGCATATTGCATATTGTGGCTATGTTCGGAATAGCATGCTAGTATAAGGCTTGCGTTGTTTCTGCAGTATGTGAATTTTCTGTACTATGGATAAAATAAAGGTCATGTGACAACAATGTAGCAGAGCCTACTACAGAAATATTTTTTTGCTGTATAATGCATATCTTTCACATATATAACCTGCCCAGTATGGCGCAATATGCTAGTAGTCCATTTTGAACATAGCCTCCGTCTTTACAAAATAAAGTGCTTCAGAAAGATCTACCCAGTACCCATTATTCCTCAGACATATTGGTGCAAAGACACTGCCCTCTGTTGGCTGTGGATGTGTAATAACATGAAGTTGTGACAGCTTATTTCTTTTCCGTATGTTTTAGTGCACATCTTTGTGATTGACAGCAGGAGCTCAACAAATGACTAAACAGACAGAGCTGCAGCTTATATTCTCTAAGATCGTTTTTGTTTTTTTTGTGCAAATATTTAAGATATGATTTTTCTCTCTGTGCTTAGTAAATGACCCAGTGGCTGCTTCTCCTAAATGACAATTAAGTTTTCTGAATTACATTTCTCATTATGCTTCTGTCTTCTTAAAAGTGTATGCAATTTAAATATAAAAATGTTGTTAAACATATTTAAGCAAAGGAGACTGAAACTGATACTACAGGAACAAAATAATAAACACAGTTTATAAAACTCATTCTTTATTATTTAAACTGTATTATATTCAGAATTACAACACAACAGTCTTCAAACTACAAAATGGAGCCCATATTTGAAAGTGTCACTTTCACAGCAACTCACAGCTTTTTACTGTCCTTCACTTCTGGCCTTGTAAAATCTCAATTGCTTACTTTTATATACTGAAAAATGTTTGATATCTAAATGATGCAAATGTGTAACACTATGAAAATAAACTTAAAAAAATGAGCAGTCTGTCTAAATGATTGACTAGTGTAAGGCGAGTAACAGTACACAATCCCTGCTTTTAAGGCTGTTACTGATAATCTGATCCATAAAATAACATAGTTCTACTGCTATGTGACTAACTGGAAAGTCTGAAAAGCATTGTGACACAAGCAGCCTGCAAACCTGCCCTTCTGGAAAAAAAGAGAAAACAAATACATTTCTCAGATTACATTTAACTCAGAACACTCTAATGGCAATGTGGTATATGCACATGATTTTCTCATATACCACGACAAGCATTATTGCTAATAGCCCAACAGACAATTTTAATTAGAACGTTTTGAACGGGACAGTTTGACAAAACATACCATATATACCACATACCGTATCAGAAACCTTAATAGACACTCTCTCACACATACACACACATGTAGCATCCTCATATTTCAGATGGTGTAGTACATTCATAGGATTTTGAAAATAATCTCTCTATTGCCAAGTCTAGTTTCTTACAGCGAGAACCGAAAATAAATAAAGAGAATCAAAACAGTCCATAGTACATTTAGTACTGTTGCTGTCTTTTATTACAAGCAGACAGTTTTATTCGATTTTTTAATGTTGATCTAGAGAGTCAAGAGTCATCAGGAAAGAAATGACGTTTAGCTGCTGTGTTTGGTGACGGCTGGTGATGGGACATTGGGTCCTCCTCTCATGTGCCCCCTGCTGCCGGGCTCAATATAACCGCTTCTCATAACTGCCAGAAACAGAAAAGAAACATTAATTAATGTTGTTATATTGTATAAACATTCAAAGTGATAGTCCAACATATTAGCACAGCCAATTAAAGGAAGAGTTTGCCCAAAAATTAAAATAAAAAGCACCATTCATTTGACCAAGGAACAGACTAAAATTTAAATCATTATTCGGTTACGAGATGCATGAGTTCTCATTGGCCTCATAGACGTCAAATCTTGTGTCATATTTGAATAACAACTTAAATTTCAGTCTGTTCTTCACACAAATTTATCATAAGGCAACAGAAGATATTAAATATAGCACACAAGTCATTTGGATTATTTATTTTTGATAAACTGACTAAAATACACAATGAAAATTTGGGATCAGTAAGATCAAGTGACAATAAAGACATTTATAAAGTTTTAAAAAATCTATTTCAAATAAATGTTGTTCTTTTAAAATTTATATTCATGAAAGAATCTTGAAAAAATGCATCAATAGTTTCCACAAAAATATTAAGCAGAACAACTCTTTTCAGCCGTGATAATAATAAGAAATGATACTTTAAAAATTTACACAAAAAAACACTTATTTTAAACTATACTAATGTTACAGTTTATACTGATAAAAAAATGCTGTGCTGTGGTGAGCATAGGAGGAGACTTCTTCCAAAAACATTAAAAAAGTAATCTTACCAACCCCAAACTTTTGAATGTTAGTTTACTTTCCATGATGCTTTTTTGTCTTGTTTGGAGCTTGCCAACCCATTATATGCATCCATAGAATGGAAAAGAAAAGTTCTAAAATTCTTGATCTCATGAGGGTGGATAAATGATGACAGATTTGTTATTTTTGGGTAAACTATCCCTTTAAAAGTAGGAGTGTTTTTTTTTCCCCAAAGTCAAGTCTCAGAGAGTGTTACAAGCACATAACCACAGAAGGACACAGAAGGTTTGTCTCTATGATGCAACAGCAAGAGGAAACTAAAAGGGTCTCATTTTATGCCCACTAAAGAGTCCAGACCATACCAGTGTTTACAACACAATGCCCTCCACCAGAACTCAACGTTATTATAAGAGACATGAGGGATGAATACTTACATGGCACAAAAGAATATCTATGGTGACAGCATAAGAGAAAGGAAGAGAAGACATTTTCATACGTAAACTCTACTTTTCCATGACAACTTAAGAAGGGATGGTCTACTCTAAGGGTCTCTGGGAGGAATTGCTAAACTTTTAGTTTTTATGTTAATGATAAGAATTCAAAGGACGGGAAATGTGTTTACAGCCATTCTTTTAAGGGCATGTGCTGTGAGGAAAGAGACATGAACATGGTAGGTCAGGTGGGTGGGGCTAAGTGAGTGGGCGGAGACTTACGAATGCAGTCCATGAACTCCGCCCTCAACCTGAGCAGACATTGTCCTCTTCTCAAACTTCAGCTCTCCAGAGTACATCATCGATCTATATGTAACAAAGGTGAGACTTAAACAGATATACATAAAAACAGAAATTATACTTTTTCGTGTTGGAATTCTATTTGTGGAATTTGGGGCGAGACATAATAAAGAGCTTGTCTTCTTTTATATAGCCAGTAACCTTTGGTTAACATTCACTGAAAAAAAAAGAAAAAAAACAGTGCTGCCTAAAATTTTTAAGTACAATCAACTTCAACAATCATTTCAACTTAAATTACATTAAAGGTGCTCTATGTAACTTTTCTACTAAAATGAATCCTTTTTTTATTGCCTGTGTGTGAAGGGGTTGTAATCACACATTAAAATGATCCCCTTGTCGAGTTTTGCTATTACCTCTGAAGTCCAGTATTCCTATTTCTATGTGAAGTCTCCGGGTCGGATTTACCGCGAAATCCAACGGATGTGACGTGCATGCGCGCTCCCGAGCCTCTCTCCTTATATACAGTCTATTGTAGACGGTCAGGGAGTTACGTCCGGTTAAAGGCACACTGTGGAACTTTTCAACCTTTATAATATATTACCAAAACCCATTGAGATGGTACATCAACTTACAATAGGTTGAATGACACGTCTGCCGAAGCCTGAAGGTGTCTGTATCGCTTTTACCACCACTATGTAACTTCGAGTTTCGGGTAGGAACCCGAGCACAAAAAGAACTACAAAATTCGACCGCTTTACGGCATACGTCACTTCCCCCACCACCCCAACTTCCTCAAATTCTAACGTGAGAACTCAACTCGCGTTTGATTGCCGGCGTCTGTATGTTGTCGTCATGGCTGAATCAACAGCTACTCGGAAGAAAGCGAAGAAAGCAAAGATTTTGTCAGAGGAGACCAAAAAAAGAAAAAGGGAGAGTTTAAAATAAACATCGGCATAAAAGTGTATATATAATATTTACTGCGAATTCGTGTAACAAAACTGATATGTCACAACATACTGCCGTATACAAATGTAAATGTTTTTTTTCCTTTCAGCTCATATATGTTTGTATTTGTGTAAAAGGAAAAACAAACTGAAGACTACAAATAACGGAAATATGTAGTGAGTTATATCAGTTTTGTTACACGATTTCCCGACTACTCGATTTCATCTCCAACCCATTGCAAAGAGATCCTGAAGACGTTACGTTAATTGTTTGCTTCAGGTGTGTTTGATTAGGGTTGGAGATGAACTGTGCAGGACAGACGATCGGCAGGAGCAGGATTGGGCAACCCTTGTCAATGCGACTTACCTGATCAGACATTGTTTTCTGCGTATGGTACTTTTATTCAATTTTTTTTCTTTATATGATTTATATTATTAATCTTATATTTATATTATTATTTTGGTCAGTAGTGAATCGATTAACTTTCTCCAACATACAAATCAAATGCCGTCTGCACACACATAAAGACACTGGAGGTTGACTGTTTGTTGACTTTCGCGACAATGCTGCGGCGCTTGTGGCCTCTAGGGGCACTAGATGTGAAAATTACAGGTCGAGCGCACCCTAGTGGCCAAAAATTCCACAGTGTGCCTTTAAAGGCGCACGTTTTTCGGCTTATATCTCAGTCAATCTTTGATCAATATTCCCAAGACTCTAATCGTTCGTAGTGCTGGACGGGGCCTTTCGAACGAGCCCACCCCCGAGGTCCAACTCGCCCGGCTCCCCGAGTTATAGGCGTCGAAATCGGGGGTCCCAGCGAACGCGATCCGGTAGGGGGCATCCCCAAGGCCCGCCACTCTAGCGTTCGGGCAAGGGTTCCCCTGGGACCTCCTCCCCCGAATTTGAGCTCTCTGGGTCTTTGCGTTCCGGAGATACGAGCGATTTTCTTCTGAGATTGTGACGTCACCGGCGTCCGCAATTTTGCAGCGCGCCCGATGGTTTTCTGCGAATATCTCCGCGAAAACACCACCAAAAACTATGGAACTTATATGGTTCTTTTCAGCTCGACTAGATGGTCCCAACGAGCTTGGTGCTCGCCGAATCCGTCTAGTATTCGGCGAGATATTTGCGTAATAGACGATATTATCTATGAGTTCGAGCACGAGCGCTCTTGTAAAATTTGGTTGCAATCTGAAACATCACCACTAGAGGCCGCTAAAAGTTGCATAGAGCACCTTTAAACTGACCTTAAAAATGAGTTGAATCTTGTATAACTTAGCTTGGCAAAATCAGATACCATGGATGAAAGCAATGAGGACACTTTCAGAATGAAATCAAGTCAAGTCAAACTTTTATTAAGATCCCTTATGGGCAATTTGGATGCAGCACAGATAGACAGACACAAACTGACACATGCAGTACATCATAATAGTAATAATAGCAATACATATTACAAATGTCAAAATAGCATAAATGTATAAAATATAGGATAAAAAAAAAACTTAATAAATACCTTTAAGACTTATTTAGTAGTCTAATTGCACTCGGAACAAAAGAGTATTTGTATCTATTATTTTTAATCTTTGGTAATCTCTAGATATAAGAAGTGTTCTCTGTCTAAAATCACAGAATGGACTCGACTCAAAGCATTTCTGTTAAACAGACCTGTCAAGCATCTTTGCTCTTTACGGTTACCTATGATCTTCCCACTGTTTTTGACTAATTTATTTAGTGAATTTTTATATTTCACACTAAGATTTCCAAACCAGCAGCTGATGGAAAAGGACAACACTGGCTCTATATAAGATTTATAGAACAATTCCATCAGTGAAATGATGTTTGAGACAGAAAATACTGTAGAAATATTAGCACAACTGAAGACACAGTGAACCAGTTGATACTAGCTACTGCTATTTTGAAGTAGGTGATATTTATAATTCAAAAGAAGGGAATGTTCTCATGAAAATTACAGTAAAAAAATTTTTGTGCAGATTGAGTATCAATATTTTTTGTTAATTTTTTCCAGAAGAACAAAAAATACTTTTAAATGTGTATATCTTTTGTCCATTTTGGTCTAGAAAAGACAGACTTGTGTATGTGTATATCTGCTAAAAGTTCATTTAGTTAACTACCTGCTAGAGTATCCCTAAAAGTGACTAATATACAGCATATACTCACATACACTCACCGGCCACTTTATTAGGTACACCTGTCCAACTGCTCGTTAACACTTAATTTCTAAGCAGCCAATCACATGGCGGCAACTCAGTGCATTTAGGCATGTAGACATGGTCAAGACAATCTCCTGCAGTTCAAACCGAGCATCAGTATGGGGAAGAAAGTTGATTTGAGTGACTTTGAACGTGGCATGATTGTTGGTGCCAGAAGGGCTGGTCTGAGTATTTCAGAAACTGCTAATCTACTGGGATTTTCACGCACAACCATCTCTAGGGTTTACAGAGAATGGTCCGAAAAAGAAAAAACATCCAGTGAGCGGCAGTTCTGTGGGCGGAAATGCCTTGTTGATGCCAGAGGTCAGAGGAGAATGGCCAGACTGGTTCGAGCTGATAGAAGGGCAACAGTGACTGAAATAACCACTCGTTACAACCGAGGTATGCAGCAAAGCATTTGTGAAGCCACAACACGCACAACCTTGAGGCGGATGGGCTACAACAGCAGAAGACTCCACCGGGTACCACTCATCTCCACTACAAATAGGAAAAAGAGGCTACAATTTGCAAGAGCTCACCAAAATTGAACAGTTGAAGACTGGAAAAATGTTGCCTGGTCTGATGAGTCTCGATTTCTGTTGAGACATTCAGATGTTAGAGTCAGAATTTGGCGTAAACAGAATGAGAACATGGAACCATCATGCCTTGTTACCACTGTGCAGGCTGGTGGTGGTGGTGTAATGGTGTGGGGGATGTTTTCCTGGCACACTTTAGGCCCCTTAGTGCCAATTGGGCATCGTTTAAATGCCACGGCCTACCTGAGCATTGTTTCTGACCATGTCCATCCCTTTATGGCCACCATGTACCCATCCTCTGATGGCTACTTCCACCATGTCACAAAGCTCTAATCATTTCAAATTGGTTTCTTGAACATGACAATGAGTTCACTGTACTAAAATGGCCTCCACAGTCACCAGATCTCAACCCAATAGAGCATCTTTGGGATGTGGTGGAACGGGAGATTCGCATCATGGATGTGCAGCCGACAAATCTGCGGCAACTGTGTGATGCCATCATGTCAATATGGACCAAACTCCCTGAGGAATGCTTCCAGCACCTTGTTGAATCTATGCCACGAAGAATTGAGGCAGTTCTGAAGGCAAAAGGGGGTCCAACCCGTTACTAGCATGGGGTACCTAATAAAGTGGCCGGTGAGTGTATATATGGCCTCAAAGCTAATAAACATGAGTTAAAAGACACAAAAGTCACTTTTGTCAAGCTTGTCAGATGTCTATAAGAGAAAGAGCCACTCTTACCGCAGAATGGACAGACTCTTTGCACCGATATCCTGACAGCCATGTTGAATTCCAGCGATGAGGTATGGAACAAACTTGTGTATCGAGCCTTTATCCTGAACTGAGCCAGAGACTCCCTGAGCTACCTTCACTTTATCACCTTCACTGGAAAACACACATACACACACACAACCCATTATATAGTGCTTACAATACAAAAGTTTTAAATATAACAGATAATATGTATATTATTGAGGTGTTTCTTCAAATACGGGCACTTTTATGATGTTTACTATACACTTTTACCTTAATTTTTTTATTTTTGTTATATGAAGGTCACATTAAAATAATGCTTTCATCATTTATTTGAACTTTTTACTATTTATGTACAGTTTCAGACCTAAACTCTAAAAACTTAAAATGAATAAATTTTTACTATAAACTACTACAAGACAGTCTAAACAAAAAGTTAACTAAAAATAAACCATTGTAATATTTTATTGCATGAAAAACAAGTATAATAATCTTTCAAAATTCAGCCCTGTCCAATTATTTTGGTATCATTTCCTCCACAACAAATATTTTGCCCCTAATAAAATGAAATTTAATGCATGTGATATATGAAGAAAGTAAAGAAAAATCAAGGTAAATATAATTTATATTTATTTATAATTTAAAATATGAATTGTTACAATAAAATGTGACAAAAGAGTTAAATAACCATGAACTATTTTAACATTTATTAATATAAAAAATATTATATTAATTAAAAAAAAATTATTTGATTTAATTGTTTGTATTTAGGATAATTAAAATGCTAGCGATAAAATTAGTCTTAGCAAGAGAAAGGAGTTACAAATGTAATTTCCACTCTCATTTCCACCAAAGGATGCTGTTAAACATACATAACATACATACATACACACACACATACACCGGTGAAAATGTTCATGCCTTTCAGAGAAAAAAAAAAAAATGTACAAAAACAAACCAATTCATACTGTGCACAGAGCCAAAATATATTGTTTTTATAATTGAGGAGACACTTTATTTATGTACACGTGCAGACATCTGAGCATAAGACTGGTTTACCTAAAGTACCGTTTCTGACTGCTGTTGTTTTTCTCCATAGCATCCAAAGAGCCCATACCACGGTACTTCTTCAATCGTACACCATCTGAGAAAAAATACTCCCCGGGTGCTTCTGTGGTTGCCGCTAACAATGACCCCATCATCACTAAAGCAAAACAGGCCGAAGGGAAGGGCATGGTCATAGACATTAAAATTTAGGCAAACAAATCCCAGCCATTAATAATAACAATGATCGTTCAGGCAAATCACTCAGATAAACACACACCTGTGGATGCTCCCAGCGCCAGGGCTTTGACAACGTGCCCAACCGTCTGAATGCCACCATCTGCAACAACTGGTACCCCGAAGCGCCGGGCGTACTCAGCCACCTTATACACAGACGTGCCCTGCGGTCTCCCACACGCCATCACTAATGATACACACACATATATATTGCTAAATAACTTCTCGTTAATTTCTCGTTCTTAAAGCTGCAGTCCGTAGCTTTTCCTCTTTGTCGCCATCTCTCTGTTCGAAACATGTAACTGCAGTGATTCGCGGAATTATCATCTTTACGTGGGTTGTAAATCGGCATGAAACAGCGCGGATGAACACAGTGCTTTGAGGCGAGTGCTGCTGTCAGTCACCGCGCTGTGTGGATACTGTCATACAGAATCACAGATTCAATTTTTGAAAGTTTGACCAACATAAGAATTTTCATAAGAAAATGTCTTCTGAACAAGTAAGTAAAATCCATTTTTGTTCTGACCAACTAAGGGGGAAAAAATCATTCGACATGATAAGCTTCGTTAGATTTAATCAACGCGATTTACAGCAACCGTGCAAATTATAGCCTACTTTGTTCTCAAATTGTTCATGTTAACAACATCAGCATTGCGTGACTAACGTTACATTTAATGTGTTTTATGGTTACCTGTGTAGTTCAGAATTCATATTCTCCATAATAGCAAACCGAGAAAGGCACAACAAAGGAAACTCCATAACTGTGTGAATTAAGAAAACGTACTGTTACACGATTGAACTACTGAAATGTCTTACTTGTTCAGCAGAAAAAAGCCGTCTCTTCTTCCGTTTTGAACCCCTTCAAAACACGGAGTTCACGCACTTTTCAAAAGCCCCGCCGATGTTTAAATCCTTGTGTTCGCATGAGACGGTTTCTTTCTCTTTCTCTAGCCACCTTAAATCCGAAGTACGAAGTCTTTTGGGTTTTATAACTGCTGAATCTCCAGTTGACACTGATGATTGTTGTTTGGATCTTTCTGGATGCCATAAGTTTAATTATGTAAAGTGCTGCGAGAAAAGCCTATACATCTAAACATCTCGTCACGCGCAGTATAGCCGGCTATAGCCGAAACTCCTTCTTTATGTGTACGGGTGTGACGTAATGACGCAAAGACATGCTCGAATTTCCCGCGGAAACCCACCAGTACCACTGGAATTAAAATCATTATTACAAGCTAACCGTTTTGAATCTAGCTATGGCAAGCAGATAGTTTTGACCACTGGCACAATATGTTTTTTTTTATATAATTATTTTGGATTATTTTTAACTTAAAAAAGTTACGGACAGCAGCTTTAACAAAAAAATAAAATAGATCATTGTTATCCCAAAAATCCTAACCCTACAATAAACCATTTGTATGACCACATATACACATTTGCATTGCTATATAAATAAGGTCATTCTTATTAATTTTTTCTAGAATAAATGAAAATAAAATTATGGAAGATTGTTTCCGCCACAGAATAAAAAATAAAGTAATAGCGACTTTTTTTCTTGCAATTGCGAGTTTACATCTCGCAATTCTGACTTTATAACACTCAATTGCGAGTTATAAAATCAGAATTGTGAGATATAAACTCGCAATCAGAGAAAAAATCTTTTTTTCTCAGAAGTGGACTTTATAACTCGCAATTGCGGGGATATATCTCACAATTCTGAGAAAAGTCAGAATTGCGAGATATAAAGTCGCAATTGCGTGTTATAAAGTCAGAATTGTGAGATATAAACTTGCAATTATCTTTTAAAATGTTTTATTCTGTGGCGGAAACAAGCTTCTATATAAAATAGATTACAATAGTAATCCCAAAAACCCTAACCCTAAAATAAAACTTTTGCCATTTTTAGACATGAATAAAGGCACTATTTTTACAAGTATGTCCACATATACACATTTGCATTGCTATATAAATATGTAATTCTTATTAATTTTTAAATAAAATAAAACTTTGTTCCATTTTTCGAAGTGAATAAAGGCACCATTTTTCCTTTAAAGTATGTCCTCATAAAGTTCTTCCATATTTAACCAACTTCTTGGCACTTTCCACAGCAGTTTTGTCCTCCTAAGTCAGTAAGAAGTGCACACACACCTTCCTGTGTGATACAGATGGATCCACAGCCCATGCCCACTCGTAAAGCATCAACACCAGCATCTATAAGATTCTTTGCTTGAGCAGCAGTCACCACTGCAGACAAGAGAATAAGAAACTGAAGAGAAACTTCGGAAAATAATCCATGCACAATCTTCAATACGTCTAATATCACTCTACTCAAGCTACCCTCAGTTTATAGAAAACGAAGCACCACAAAGGGCAAAAAAGCTTCACCGTTTCCTCCCACCACTTGTAGTTCTGGGTATTTCTGTTTGATGTAGTTGATCATACTGATTTGAAACACAGAGTTCCCCTGAGAAGAGTCCTGGGACAGAACAACAGAAAAACCATCATATATCATGTAGGGTTAAGAGCTAAGAGGTCAAACACTGTGTGTATTTATGTAAGATTTTTTACACAATTTTGCTGTCTGAGATCAATTTTGGAAATTGTAAAAGATTTCTTCCAACCCTGCCCTAATCCACCTGCTTATTAATTTCCTAGTAAAGCCAAAAATTGTATTAACTTGTTCAGGCATGTTTGATTACGGATGTAGCCAAAATGTGTGACAGTAGCTTTTGGCTACAGCTGTGCACATAAATCCATAAATTTGTCCTTTTACTTTCATTTGCAAGTAATAAAATCAGATCCATTGTTCAGACAATTAGGTCAATATTTGGCAAATACATAAACAACACCTGTTACTGTGTATGATGTCTGACAAGTTTGACCAACACAGGATCTAAGCATCATTAATTGACCCTTGACCCAATACAAAGTATGCGAACTTAAAATCTGCATAAGCGATGTATATGGTTACAGTACCATTCAAAAGTTTAGGGTCAGTAATTTGGTCTATTCAGCATATGCAATGCATTTAATTGATCAAAAGTGACAGTAAAGACATTTATGATGATTATGTCACACTGAAGACTGGAGTAATGGCTGCTGAAAATCCAGCTTTGGCCTCACAGGAATACATTACATTTTAAAATAGTTTTTTTAAAACAAATCACAATTTTACTGTTTTTACTGTATTTTTGATTGGAACAAATGCAGCCTTATGAGAATATCTTGATTAGCAAAGCACCTCAGGTTCACTTTGATTCAATTTTTTCTAATTCTAAATACATTTGGCCCTACACACACTAATGCTGTGTTCCCCTACCTGACACATGGAATAAAGAAACAAAATAGCAATGGTATTGTTAGCTTTGCAGGTGTTTGACTGTAAGCAAAGTCTCCACTGCATGTGCTCTGTGTGTGTTTGATTTTCATTTACCATGTTTGACACATCTGTCTGCAAACATGTGCTAAACATGTTTTTTTGTCATCTAATGTTTGAAATTTGACTTGCTGATGCATTTTATTTGTTTAAAAGTGAATGTTTCTAATCTACTTGGGTGTTGCCAAGTTTGTATCTGGGCAGAACAAATGATGGATTTCTGCATGAGAAATTGAAATTCTGATTTCAAGTTCTGTTGCAGTTGTCCAAATTACAAGTTGGAATGCAGCAAATGTGCTGCAGGAAGCTAAATCTCCAGAAATAGGACTGAGTACTGCTAAAGTGTAAGGTCACCCCATTCCCCTTTGTACCCACCAGAACTATCACATCCACTCCAGCCTGCATGAGCAGGTCTAGCCGGTACTTGTCGTCCTCTCGGGTGCCGATGGCTGCGCCACACAGGAGCTGTTTGCGAGAGTCTTTGGAGGCTAGAGGATAGTCTCTGTTCTTCTTTAAATCGGTACGAGCTATTATAGCTACGAGCTCATCGCTGTCATTCACTATAGGAAGTTTACCTGAAAGAGAAAACAGGAATGTGATCAGCAAGCTTGTGCTAAACATCACAACACAAACAGGACAGAAGTTAACGCTCGTACCTTTTTTACTGCGCTGCAAGATGTCATTAGCCTCTTTTAACGTAACACCCGCTGGAGCAACCACTAAATCTTCTCGTTTTGTCATTGCCTGGAGGATTGAAGATGAATAATTCAGAAACTATTATCATTCACGGATATTAGTAGCATTTAGGACTGTTATGAGTGTTTAAGGTCAACATGAACTCAAAATTGACCCTATTTATTTTTCTTAAAGGTACAATCTGTAATTTTTTCGCCGCCAGAGGTCGCATTTTCAAAACAATAACAAAGACGAAGCTTGATGACGCCATGAAGGAGAGTGGAACGATGGGAGATGTCGTTTTCACCATCCAGAGATGTAGGCTATGGAATTCACGAATCATATAAATTATATATAAGCTAATAAATTAGTTTTTGTATTAGCTGTACGTTTGATCACACTATTTTATGTCATCGTAATGAATTAGCTGCAAGGAAAGTGAAATGTAATGCTATATTAGCCTGTTACTGATATGAATATTTGTCAAATGATATGGTGAGTTAATGCTGCACAGTTCTACACGTTTTTAAACAATCGTACTGAGGCCATGTTTACACGGAAACGATCTGAAGAGAAAACGCAAAAGTGGCGTTTCGTTTTCACTTTTTATTCTGCGTTTAGACGAGCGTTATGGGGGGGAAATCTGCGTGCATATGGAGACGCAAAAGTGTTAGAAATGCGATGTAGTATGCACTCCAGGCGGCTAGGTGGCAATGTGAAGCACTGCCACACAACAACAACAAGTCCGTGCGCCTGCGTACAACCTTCCTTCTACTTCTCTCCCTAGTAGCGCGAAATTGAAAAGACTCTTGGACATTTATCAGAGCTGCTAGGGCAACTTGAAGGTCCGACGTATGGAAATAATCCGACATGTTGGTTGTTATTTTCCTGTACTGGCGCATGCCTGTGACGTAAATGCGTACGCGACGAGAGCCGCCATGAGCAGATTTGCGTTTTTACCCGTTTAGATGGAAACGCGACGGTGGAGCGTTTTTAAGATTTCCACTTTGGAGGGTGGTTTCACTTTTTTGCGTTTTTAAGCCCCAAAAACGCCGTCGCCGTGTAAACGAAAGGCACATCCGATAAAATATTATTACGTTTTCACCCGGAATCCTTTTCGTGTAAACAGGGCCTAAAAGTACATTTGAACAAACCCACAGTATTTGCAAGTAATTGTCATGATCTATAAACGAGACTGGAAGCAAAAGCAGGTACTCAAAGATTTATTGGTCAGATAACACGAACACAGAAGGATGACACGGGCGTGGACGGATGACGCAGGAACTTTGATGGCCAGTGAAGAATCCGTGATGTGAAGTCCGTGCAGAGAAGAATACGTGAAGAGAAGTCCGTGCAGAGAAGAATCCGTGACGTGCGATCCGTGAGGTGAGGAATCCGTGCAGTGAAGACACGAAACGACAATCCAACACCGAGACAACGAATCCACAACAACACGACGAGTCAAACGGCAGGAGAACGGAACAGGAACACACACGAGACATCAACCAACGATCTGACAAAGGGAATGAGAAAATGGTGAGTATATATAGAGGGATGAGATCGGCTGCAGCTGGTGATGAGATGATGAACAGCTGGAGCGGATCAAGGAACGTCACTCAGTCACACCCACTACACACGTGCTTTCATACAACAACATAAACACGAGACAAGAAGGAACCAGTGGTTTGTATACCGTGACAGTACCCTCTCTCCTAGGAACGCCTCCTGGCGTTCCCAGCCTCCTTTACCTGTCGATTGAAATCATCGATCAGAGAATGATCCAGGATGTCTCTGGCAGGTACCCAACTTCTCTCCTCTGGACCGTAACCTTCCCAGTCCACCAAGTACTGAAACCCACGCCCCCTCCGCCTAGAATCCAGAATGCGATTTACCGAATAGGTGGTATCCCCATCTACGAGGCGCGGCGGTGGGGGAACCGGGACTGGCGGATTAATGTGAGCATGAAACACGGGATGTACCCTCCTGTACGCTGGAGGTAAACTAAGGCGGACTGCCACCGGACTAATGATCTTGGTGACAGTGAACGGGCCAATGAATTTGGGAGCAAGTTTATTGGAGACGGATCGGAGTGGAATGTTCCTGGTAGAAAGCCACACTTTTTGACCAACGACGTATACGGGAGGCTTTGACCGGTGGCGATCGGCCTTAGCCTTGGTGCGCGCCCCCACTTGGAGTAAAGTCTCACGGGCTCTAGTCCAAGTGCGGTGACACCTCTGGATTAAGGCGTGGGCGGAGGGGACCGCGACCTCGGATTCCAGACTGGGAAAAATAGGTGGCTGGTAACCTAAGCTACACTCAAACGGAGATAGGCCCGTGGCCGACACTGGTAATGTATTGTGGGCGTACTCCACCATAGACAGCTGTTGGCTCCAGGAGGAAGGATTCTTGGACACCATACATCGCAACGCTCTCTCCAGATCTTGGTTGGCTCTCTCGGTTTGGCCATTGCTCTGGGGATGAAACCCTGAGGACAGACTAACCGTCGCCCCCAGTAACTTACAAAATTCTCTCCAAAATTTGGACACAAATTGGGGTCCCCTGTCGGAGACCACGTCCATCGGGAGGCCATGTAAGCGAAAGACGTGGTCAACGACAGTCAACGCTGTCTCCTTAGCTGAGGGTAATTTGGGTAAGGGAATAAAGTGAGCCGCCTTCGAGAACCGGTCCACCACGGTCAAAACGACTGTGTTACCCTGGGAGGGCGGGAGGGGGGTGATAAAATCTAGAGCGATATGGGACCAGGGTCTCGAAGGGACAGGCAGCGGTTGAAGGAGCCCATCTGGAGGTCGATTGGAAGTCTTACCAGTGGCACAAACCGAGCAAGCCAAAACAAAACTGTGAATGTCACGAGCCATGAGAGGCCACCAAAATCGTTGCTTTACTAAAAACTTAGTACGATTGACACCTGGATGACAAGCCACGTTGGAACCATGACCCCATTGGATAACGTCGGACCGTAATCCCTCCGGCACAAATAAACGATTCGGTGGGCAACCGGGCGGAGGCATTACACCTTCTAAGGCCGTCTTGACCTTCGATTCGACCTCCCATACGAGTGTGGAAACAAATAGGGTCTCCGGTAAAATGCACTCGGGAGTAGACGGGCGTTCGGAACGATCAAAAATGCGAGATAAAGAGTCGGGTTTGATGTTCTTAGAACCCGGGCGGTACGAGAGGGAAAAATCAAAACGACCGAAAAAAAGTGCCCACCGAGCCTGCCTGGAGTTCAGTCTTTTGGCGGTTCTGATGTACTCTAGATTCTTGTGATCGGTCCAGACGATAAAAGGTACCCCCGCACCCTCCAACCAATGACGCCATTCCTCCAACGCAAGCTTGACTGCCAACAGCTCCCTATTACCAATGTCGTAATTGCGTTCCGCTGGGGACAAACGATGAGAAAAAAACGCGCAGGGATGCATCTTGTCGTCTGCGGAAGAGCGTTGGGACAGAACTGCTCCTACCCCCACCTCTGACGCATCGACCTCCACCACGAACTGCCGTGAAGAGTCAGGGGCAACGAGGATGGGAGCTGAAACAAAGCGGCTCTTGAGTTTGGCAAATACAGCCTCGGCTGTATCTGACCACCTGAACGGAGTTCTGGGGGAGGTCAAGGCAGTCAGAGGTGCGGCTAGTTGGCTGAAATTGCGAATAAACAGCCGATAGAAATTGGCGAACCCCAGAAACCTCTGTAGGGCCTTACGGGAATCTGGGCTTGGCCACTCTACCACAGCCTTAACCTTCTCAGGGTCCACCCGCATTCCCTCAGACGAAACGATGTACCCTAGGAAAGGAACAGACTGTGCATGAAAATCGCATTTCTCCGCCTTGACAAAAAGCCCATTCTCCAACAACCTCTGAAGCACTCGTCGGACGTGTTGCACATGTTCCTGGAGAGACGAGGAAAATATCAATATGTCATCCAGGTAGACATATATGAACTGATCGATCATGTCTCGCAACACGTCATTGATGAGTGCCTGGAAGACTGCTGGGGAGTTGGACAGCCCGAAAGGCATGACCAAGTATTCAAAGTGCCCCCTGGGGGTATTAAAAGCAGTCTTCCATTCATCCCCCTCCCTAATGCGAACCAAATGATAAGCGTTACGCAAGTCCAATTTCGTGAAGATGGATGCTCCCTGCAACCTCTCGAAGGCTGAAGACATCAACGGCAAAGGATAAGTATTCTTTACCGTGATGTTATTCAACCCCCGGTAATCAATACAAGGTCGTAGAGACCCATCCTTCTTCCCCACAAAAAAGAACCCCGCCCCCGCTGGAGAAGAGGAAGGGCGGATGAACTTGGTTGCCAGAGAATCAGAAATATATTTCTCCATAGCCTCCCTCTCCGGGACAGAAAGCGAATATAATTTGCCCTTAGGCGGAGACTTACCTGGCAGTAAATCTATAGCACAGTCATAGGGACGATGCGGAGGAAGAGAAGCAGCCCGAGACTTACTGAACACTTCCTTCAGATCGTGGTACTCCTCGGGCACGTTAGACAAATCCCCTGCCTCCTCCTGAAACACAAAAACAGGCACAGACGGACAAGCAGACACGAGACAAGACTTATGACATTCCTTGCTCCACTCCAACACGGTTTTCTGATGCCAGTCCACTCGGGGGTTGTGACGGATGAGCCAAGGATGTCCGAGAACGATGGGTGCCAGGGGTGAATCCAATATGTAAAAAAAAATAGTCTCTGAGTGATTGCCTGAAGTAATGAGAGTGATGTCCTCAGTGATGAAAGAAATAGTGGGAAGTTCTTGACCATTTAAGGCATGTACTGCAATCCTCTGTGTGAGTGGTTTGAGGGGAATCTGACATCTGTGTGCAAAGGTGCTATCCATAAAATTACCTTCCGCCCCAGAGTCCAGAAGTGCCCGACAGTCCTGTTGGTGAACTGACCATCTCAGTCTTACCGGAAGGAGGGTAGATGTGGATGAGGTCTTCTCGGCGGAGATCCCACCCGATAGTAGCCTCATACTTACTATCGGGCTTGGCCTTTTACCGGGCAGCTGTAGGCATAGTGTCCCGCGCCACCGCAGTAT